AATCTCCACCACCTCTCACATGTTAACTTCCATTAGTTCTTTCTATAAAAATGATGGAGCATTCATTTTTAGGGATCCAAGTGTTGTACGTGGAAGCCTTCATAGTTTTAGGCAGCATATTACTCATGTAAAAGTGGTAGTTTCTCACATTGAGGAAATACCACATCATTAGTGTAGGCCTATAATTTGTAACGCTCGAATCAATCTTGCCGATATTATTTCAAAGCTCTATTCAAGTTTCAAGATTTATTTTATTCAATTTTTATTCAAGTTTTATTCAAGTTTTATTCCAGGTTTATTTATTGCAATTATTTTAGTTTCTTGTTCTTATAATATTGTTTTATCATTACAAATCTAAATATGCATATGTTCATGGTTAATAATCATAATTGCATGTTTGTTTCTTTAAGTATGTCCGGCTAAATAGTTTTGAGTTCGGTATGTGAGGACCGTCGTTCCCGACGGGACTCAGTAATAAGTTGGATTAATTATTTTTTTGAAAATTCAGTTTCGGTCTTTGTTTTTAAACTTAATTTAAATAGCTTTGTCACGAGAGTCAGAGGTTACTTAACACGATTTTGCCACGATAGTGGGAAATTAACTAAGATTCTAGTCGGCACTGCAAGAGCATGGGCATCGAATCAGATAGTAGAAACTAAGCATTAATCTTAAACACAGCGAGAGCGCTTTAGAATTAATTAGAACCTGCTCCGTTTTCAAAACGCATTCCTTAATTGAAATGGGTGAGCGAGAGCAAAATCTCATGGTTAAGGAATGCGGATTCATTCAAAATCTCGAGAGTGTGAGGTTCAGTCTTTAAATTGATATTTTCTACTAAACACATTTTTAACATCAATATAAGCCAACGAGTTACAGAGTCCCAGAGGTACGCAGAATACACATTCTGGTCTCTCTTTTCATATATATATTTCCTTAATCTTATTTTATTTCACTTTTAGTTCTTAGTTTCCCCTAAATTAATCATTCATTAGCCTTAGCTTTACAAAGCGACAATAGATTACAGTAGGTTGACAGTGGTCTTTGAGGGTTCAATAATCTTTTATACTACTTCGATATTTCCGTGCACTTGCGGATGCATCAACCGTCTTCACCAAGAACGTCGTCTCCCTCCCTCGTCACCCATCTGGAGGGGAAGAAACCATCAACGAATTTGTTAAGAATACCGAAGGCCCCCTCATCCTCGGTGCCCATGTTGCCAGCAAAAGTATGATACAGGTCAGGCATGTGGTCGTAGTGAGCCCAACACCAATGGGTAGGGAACTTAGATAGCCTCCTGATCTCTTTGTTCCCATCTTCGTCATAAAAAACTTCCTCGTCCTCATCGACAATAGAAAATGGGTCGAACACCACGTTCACTGCCTCTTGGGACGAGGGATGCACAACATACCACTTGTCTTTAAAGTCTCAGACAAAGTCCATATACATCCGGAACAGCCTCTTGGATTGCTTGAAAGAAATCCAATTATATTTTCCTCCCCTAGACTACCTTTGAAGATGGAAAACCCTGAAGAACAAAGGAATCATCTCCCAAATCCTCAAGTATCGACAAGTAATCTCGAAAGCTCGTATGAAAGCGATCGCGTTGGGGTGCAGTTGGGAGGGCGCCAAGGACAAATGATTAAGGACACCCATTTGAAAGTCATTGAAGGGCGGATGAAGTCCCAGATTCCTGAAGACAATCTCGTATATAGGGAAGCGGATCTTCCGGGAAAGACGAGCATATTCTGGTCGTAGGTGTCGGGTGAAATATCATGAAATTTCGTCTGAAACCTTCTTGGCCGCCGCCATATTTGACAACGGTGTATGCCTCCCTCCTTGTATTGCTAAAGACTGTGGCTATTCCTCGAGGCTTTGTCCCGACCCAGGATAATGGCAGATCGGTGATGGTGTCGATCAAGTGGACACCCTCGTCGGCTCCACTCATTTCTTCTATCTCGACCTGCTCGGTTGTCTCGACTGGTTCGTCCATTTCACCTATAAAGCAGAGGAAATCAGTGAATTCGACAGCTAAATCAAATTCCCCCTTCCACCATAACACAAGTGAAAGGGGGTTGCTACGACCAAACCATGTCAACGAACCCTTGTTCAGTAAAAGCCAATAAACTCATGAATGCCACGAGGAGAATATGGATCTGTTGAGGATTAAATGAATCTCCCGAGCAGTCCCATGAACATTGCGAGGAGAGGATACATTCTCTGAGCAATTTCATGAGTTCTGCGAGGATCAGATGAGTTTCACGATCCAATTCGTGAGTATCACAAAGAGAAGTATGAATGTATAGAGGAAAAACCCCACGGATAGTGAAATTCATCAGGAAATCCATGAAGTTTGCGGGGAAGCCGCTTTAGAAACTTCCATAAAATGCAAAAACTCAACTATAAACAAGAGTAATCGCATAAAAAACACTTACTTGATTAAGGTTGGTAGAGGTTTTACGGTAGAAGTTGCGGCCGCGCTCACGGCTGGAGGAGGAAACTAAGGGCGGTAGAAAATTGAAGACAATAGGGAGAAAGGAGAAGACAAGAACTTGGAAACATTACAAATGAGCCATTGGGCGCTATTTATAAAGCTGGTGCGAAAGACAAAGCGTTGCATCGAACAGTGTGTCAGTTATTTGTCTCTCTGTCGTCCACGCGTTCATGATCATAATGACCCCTACTCCCTAGGCCATCATTCTATCCCAAAAGCTACACCACGTGGTTTACAAAGTGAACATCCTGCGAACTTTCGTCTCCCCGCGAGTCGAGGAACAAATAAATTTTCTCCGTGAACACACTCTAGTCTCCACTCAAGTAGCCGCATATAAAAACGACCCCGTCCCTCAACGTGATAGGGGACCCCGGTGAAATTATGCTCACCATACAGGGAAGTTGGTCTTAAGTATAACTCCTTTTCTCTGAAGCAACGACTCGGGGGCTCCTATTCTAGACTGGGTCCGCATTTGGCTCAAACATCATACAAGGTCCAATCCAATAATGCTGCAGGTAAAGACCAACAGGAGAGAGTCTTCCCTTGACTATGTCAGGCAGTGACTCCACTCCTCTTGTCAACTAGGATACACCCTCCGGAGACAAGATCAATCTGTATGACTGGCGAGGAGGGCCAACAATGCTCAGGAGGTCCTCACGAGCACCCTTCTCATAGGGCAAGCATCCAGCACCTCTGAATATCCCAGAGTTTCCTTGACCCCTAAGAGACCGCGTCCACGTCCTCCTGATGATTCGGAGGAGCCCATTCAGGTTGGAGACCACGTGTTGGCCTCCACTACACATGTAGGACCTGGCAGTCTCTATTTTACGCCTGCTTTGTCAGCCCAATATGGGAACCTTGGTCCAACGCTAGAGATATAAATACCCTCTCACTTGAGAAGGTCCGATATTCATTCATTCACCCATACTCTAATGTTTTACTTGCACTTACTCGAAATCTTACTTTGGCATCAAAGTGTCTTACAGGTACCTCCACTTCACATTCAACCACTGCTCGACTTAAAATTCGTGGACCTTGACAATCCCTTTTGATCAATGAAGATCAACTACGTTAGGAATCCTGGTCGAAGAAGAATCACATATCAATGAATATTATTTATAGGATTAAATAAGTTTTTGGTCCTTCTAAATATCTCAAATTGCATTTTTAGTCCCTCTAAATTTTTCCTTCAAAGAATGGCTCTTCTAAAAAATTAAATTTTAACTTTTGGTTCCTCCTAACAAAATCGTAGCTAAAATTTTTGTCGCTAAATAAAATCCGTCGCTAAAATCATCACTAAAACCATCGCTAAAGTCATCGATAAGTTATAAAAATCGTAGTTAAATTGCAGGATGAACCAAAAATTAAAAAGTTAATTTTTTAAGAGGGTCATTATTTGAAGGAAAACTTTAGAGAGACTAAAAAAGAAACTTTAAAGCAAAATTTTGTGTCTATGTCTATTTCAAGATTACTATTTTAAGATCTGATAGACTTTTCACTATAAATCCAAATATAACTTGACTTTGTTCTTTCATTTCTTATTGATCAACGTGTTATAGATGATAAAACTCATATATGAATCCAAATATTACTTGACTTTGTGTATTTTTGTTTTCACGGCAGAATCTGCCCAGAAGCGCTTATTCTCAAAAACTCAACAAAATCCAAACGTACGTTTGTTTCTTTTTCTAAACGTGTAACCAAACACACACTTTGTTCTTTCGTTTCTTGATAGACCAACATAATTATAGAAGCTAAAACTCATATATATGTTGCACCGCATGAAAAGTATATCAAATGTAGATAGAAGTTAAACAGCTAGCAATAAAAAAAAGAGCTAAAAATAAACTATAAGAAAAATTATCATAAAAAAATCTTAAAGAGTAACAAATAAATAGAAAACATTATGACAAAATTTTGATCCATTAGGTTGTAATTTATTTTTCGAGTATCAATCCACCGTATACTAAAGAAAGTGGTCCATATTAAAATTTACCGGAAATAAGCATTGCATGACATCAAAATTCACAAATAATGCTATCAGTGAGCGGAAGAGTACCCTTAGAAACTACAATCATAAAACATATTTAAATAGATGTATTTTAAAACAAAAGTACATGATTTGTTAAGTATAGCACTTTCATATTAGAATATTTAAAATAAAACTCAATTTTTTTAATAAAGTCTTGGCATGAAATATTTAAAAATTAACATTTACAAACTTGAATAATAATGGCATGCTATTAAATTGAAAATAACTCCATGACATGACCCAAAAAAAAACAGTAAAAGAAATCATTTTTAAGTTAGGCCATCACCCAGCAAATACATTTAACGATCTAAACAGATATAAATGAAAAACATGTCTAAGGATCTCTTGTGTAGCCTCAGTAGGCCTTTTTTTTTTGTTTCAATCTCAGATATGATGGCATCAATTTTAGCTTCCAATAAGTAGACCCAACACCTATCAAGGTGGTGCTTGGTAGTACAAAGCAAAAGAAACCTAAAATCATGTATCCTTGGGGGGAGCTTTCTTGGCGGCCTCAGCAGCAGCTTTCTCTGCTTCAATCTCAGCAACAATGGCGTCAATTTCAGCTTCCTCAAGTTGACGCAGACCATGCTGCTTGGTCATCACAGCAACTTCAATGTTCTTGCCTCCACTCTCAACAACCTAATTACATGTGCCAACAAGGAAAAGCAAAATGTAAAGTATTAATCAGATCGGATTCCAAATATATAACAAGTTACTAGCCAATAATAGTCCTATAATTATGCAACAGGAATAGACAAAATTACTATATCCATTATGTTAGTATTAGGCAGTTTATTTAAATAAATATTGTATGTGCAGTAACTGCTGCAAGTGTCAGAATTATGAATAGGGCATTGCTATTTAGGACTACGACGATATAAGTTCGTAAAACTCACAAAACTGAGGTCAAGTTGGATGGTTATATCTTCAACATTTTGATAAATAAAGGCATAATGGTCGTATAAATGTGAAGCAAACTGATGACCATGTCAATAGTCAATTTTCGTTTCATCCCAACAAGCATTTTCTTATAAATATAGGCTGATAAGGAAATGAGAGGGCATTAGGTATTTTGTATGTTGTTTGGTTTGGGAGAGACTAGGCTCTCTAATTCCTAAAGGTTGCTTTACTTGTTCAATTGCCAATTCTAAATCCTTTGTATTATTTGTCAATTCAATAATTGCCTTGCTAGAAGTTACATCCGCAGGCTTTGTTCCTCTGCTCTGTAGTTTCTCTATTCCTACCATTTATTCAGATATTTATGTTAACCCCGATATCTATTACTGGTAGTACCAGTTCTCTAATATAAGATTTCTGCTTTAATCTTATTCAAATGAAAAATATAATAGAAAAGAAAAAGACGTGTGTCTGTATTGAACTATAATTGACAATTTGTTATGTTCATGTGTACCAAAACAACTGTTGATCAAGAACCAGAAAGAGATAAGAGATCTCAAACAAATGAAAAAAGGGAAACTTAGTGTTATAAAGTCTCCACCATAGCAGGATTTAGGGAATGATCATGCATATCACATTACTGGTCAATTGCTGGTAGTTTTACCTTATATTATAGTTTTAGCTTATTAAGGTTAAGTTATAATGACTCATATAAACTAGTGGAAAAGTGAAACCCAGATTAAGCATATGAATATCTTTCTAATACAGAGGTAATTTATCCTAAACTTCCATCCACCAAACTTACAGTTAAATGTTTTTGTTATGCATAAAGCGGTTAATGACAGCCCTTATATATCCAACTTATACATTCAGCCAGAGAACAAATTAACACAAAAGAGACCTATATAAATGATAGAATCAGATACTATTTCTTTCAAAAAGACAAAAGACACAAAAGAGAACAAATTAACTCACTTCAAGCAAGGCCCGGATAGCCAATTTGACAGTTTCTTGCCCAGAAGTTTCTTTAAAGTTCTTCTCCAAAAACTCCCGGATTGAATTAGAGTTTCTTCCAGTAGCATTAGCTTTCCAAGCTGAAAATGTGCCAGAAGGGTCTGTTTGGTAAAGGGACGGTGATCCAGTGTAAGGATCAAAGCCAACAATCAAGGTTGAAAGGCCAAAGGGTCTCACACCACCACTCTGTGTGTACTTCTGCTGAAGACCTGCAATGTGACGGGTTATATATTCCACAGTGCAAGGATCCTCAACGGTAAGCCTGTGACTCTGACATTCAACTCGCGCCCGGTTAATAAGAACACGAGCATCGGCTTTTAGTCCAGCGCACGCAAGTGCAATGTGATCGTCCAGATTAACAATCTTCCTAACTGATCTGCACAACGAAAGTAAAACAAAAGTAAAAACAAACCATATTTCCAGAGGATCCTAAATCTAGGGTTCAATTGGAACAAAATCATGAAAAACAAGATTGATTTTGATTTAGTATAAAATAAAATTGAAAAAGTGAGAAACCTAGAGTCTTGGAGTTTGGCGGTGGATTTCTTCTCGACGCCGAGAACGACGTTATCGGTACCGCGAACACCGACGGCGGCGTTACCTTTGCGAACGGCTTCGAGAGCGTACTCGACTTGGAAGAGATGGCCATCGGGGGAGAAGACTGTGATCGCTCTGTCGTATCTCGCCATTTTGATATTCTTCTTTCTTCTACTTCTCCGATTTGAACAAAACCTATATGAAGAAGCTTTCTCTTTTCTGTTTGGTGAAGAAACGCACTATGATCTACTGTTGTTGACTGGGATCAGCTTGGACAACAAGTAGCTCAATTTTTTTTTGGGCCGATTGGGCCTGAAATTACTAATATTTAACTATAATTCATTTTAACACTCTGTCTTTTCTCTAATATACGTTCTCTTTTTTCCTCGATATTCGTTACTGCCATTTTAGTTAATCAAATAAATCCAAAATTGAAATATTTTATAAATATATTAAAAGTTATTATTAGTATTTTTTTTACCATCTATAAATTTACTGTTCATGTTATCTATAATTATTAAAAACTATATTTCAAAAACAATAAAACAACAAAATCATTTGTACTATAATACACAATTTATTAAAAAATATGTATTAATATTTGAATAAAATAAAAAGTAAATAACTTTTAACTATCTATGTTATAATAGTATTATAAATCAATGGTATTAAATTTTCGCTATCAATTTATTCTTTAAAAATATAAATTATATATAAAATTTGACAAAATATATGTTAAACTAATTTAAAATTAAATTTTGTGAAGAAAAAAATAAATAAAAACATAAAATTAAATTTATAATTCCTAAAATCTACTATCAATATATAAAAACGGATTATCACCATTTTTATCTTAATAACCAATTTAAATTAATTACATTCTAAAATTCATGGGTAATTTTGTAATTAATCATTTAATTACACCTTATTATTTATTTTTATATTGTAATCATTATAATTTACACATGCTTACCGTTTCCCAACCAAATTTTAACACTTGCACGGGAAATATCAATATTTTTTACTAAGGAGTTATGATTTGCGTAACATTTTCTATTTCATTGTTATCAATGGAGGGTCTTCTTTATTGATGTTAAAATTATATATTTTTTAAATCATAAAAACTCTATTAGAAGTCTTTAATAACTCAAATGCATTGTGGAAACTTCTCGTTTCATTGAAAATAACTTATTAAAAGATATTTCTAGAAATTTGAAAAAATAAAGTTTCAAAGAGAAAGTTGATTACCAGTTCGGAGAAATCGATTTCCACATGTTATTTCAGTTTTCCAATTCAGTTTTTAGTTGGGGAAATCGATTACCCCCTATTGAGAAATCGATCTCCTCCCTGTGTTTTGTGTTTTGTGTTTTTTAGTTGTTTTTTAGGTATATTTTTGGTTTCAAGGTGTATGTTTGTATCCTATAAGTACTCTCTCATGTAATGTTTGATAAACTAATGTCATTATAACATTTTCTCCTCAATTACTCTCTCTCTCTCTCTCTCTCTCTCTCTCTCTCTCTCTCTCTCTCTCTCTCTCTCTCTCTCTCCTAATATCTCCATATCCGCTTCATCTTCACCAATTAACCACATTTCACCATTGATTCACCACACAAGTTTTGTGCTTGTTCCAACATTTGGTATCAGAGCCTCGTTCTGATCTATTAATCCGCTGCAAAGATTACTAGTGTTTTCAATGATCGAATCCCTACCAATCTTCCAACACTTGATTCAAAGAACTATGATAAATGGTGCAAAAAATGAAAGTTTTATTTGGGTATCAAGACGTTCTTGAAGTGGTTAACAATGGTGTTACACCACTTGGGGCACTCTTCTTGATTCATTCTTGCATCGACAATGACAACTTCGAAAAGGTTGGTGATTATGACTCGACGAAGCAAGCATGAGAGATCTTAAAGAAAGCTTATGAATGGGTTGATAAAGCAAATGTGGTGAGGTTACAAACTCACAAGCGGTAGTTCGATTTGGTGAAAATGGAAGATAAGAAGTCGATCAATTATTACGTAATGTGTATTACGCGTTTGGTGAATCAAATGAAATCTTGTAGTGAAACTGTTTCAGAGCGGAATGTTGTAGCAAAGATCTTATGATCTTTAACGTCAAGATTCGACAATATTGTGGTTGCAATCGAAAAATCGAAGGACCTTCCTACATTGAGCAAGGAGGAGCTTCAAAGCTCACTTGAGGCTCATGAACAAAGGATGGATGAAAAGGGAAATGACAAAGCTAAAGCGGATATTGTGTTGCAAGCACGGTTTAATGAGAAGAGTAAAAGATCGAAAGGAAAATGGTCTTCGAATAAGAAGAAAAATTTCCAAAATTTTGGTGGAAAAGATCCACAAAAATTCAAATGCTTCGATGGTGCAAAGAGGTGAGAGCAGCCACAAAGGCAGTGGTCAAAGAAACTACAACAAGAAGTTTGACCAGAGTAATATGAAGTGTTGCAATTGTCATAAACTTAGCCATTTTGCAAAGGAATGTAATGCAAAATCAAGGGAAAATCAAAGTTATGAAGCTAAGGTTGCTCAACAGAAGGTGGATGATGATAGCACGCTTCTGTTCATGATCACAGAGGAGAGTTATAGCAGTAATAAGCAGCTGGACAATAGTTGCAAGTTGCTGGACAGCAGTGGCAGGAGCTCGAAAAATGTTGCAGAAACGCGTTCAGAGAAAATCATAATGGTCACTATTCGAGATAGAGTCCAAGGCAATGATGAGTGGTATTTGAATTATGGTTGTTTGACACATATGACGGGTAGAAAGGATTTGTTTGTCAAAATCAATCAAGCTACAAAGAATAAAGTGAAATTCGCGGATGACACCACTTTAGTAGCCGACAGAGTCGGTGATATTTTGATCATGAGAAGGGATAAGGGTCATTCCTTGATCAAATATGTGTTATACATTCATGGAATTAAATGTAATCTCTTGAGTATTGGCCAATTACTTGAAAAAAATTACATGATTAGCATGGAAAACAATATTTTGTGCATTTTGGACCAAAATGAAGTTTTAGTCCTTAAAGAACCTATGGATGCCAATCGGACTTTCAAGATAGAATTGAAAGTGATGAAACATAGGTGTCTTTCTACAGGGGCAAGTCATGATGAATGTTTGTGGCACTATCACCTTGTACATCTCAATTTTCGAGATCTCGACGCGTTACAAAGGAATGGTATGGTAACCGGGTTGTTGAAAATCAATGTTCCAGCTGAGGTATTTGAAGAGTATGTTTAAAGGAAGTAACACAAGAGTAGTTTCATCAAGGATGCAGGTCATAGGACCAAACATCACCTTGAGGTGGTGTACTTCGACATAAGTGGTCTAATGCAAGTCGACTCATATGGTGGCAATAGATACTTTGTCACATTTATCGATGATTTTAGTAGGAAACTATGGACATATTTAATCAAGAGGAAGTGTGAGGTATTTTGTATGTTTAAGAAGTTCAAGTCCATGGTTGAGCGGAAAAATGGTCACAAGATCAAAATTCTCAAAACGGATAGTGGAGGAGAGTATACCTCGAATGAGCTTGGGAATTATGAGCTTGGGAGGGTATAGTTTGTAAGGTTGTACCACCCTATACGCCTCAGCAAAATGGTGTTGACGAGAGGAAAAATTGTTTGATAATAAGCATGGTTTGTAGCATGTTGAAGGGAAAAAGCTTGTCGAAAGAACTATGGGGAGAAGTGGTTTCTACAACCACCTGTTTTTAAATAGGTGCCCTACAAAGAAGCTGGACAAGATAACTCCAGAAGAGGCATGGTCTAGATTTAAACCAAGTTTAAGTCATTTGAAAGTTTTCAGTTTGGTAGTGATTTTACTGGTTGATCAGAACCCGCAAGCTGGCCGGAGGATGATCTTTGACGGGTTGGAAAGTTAAGGAGAAAGGGGGAGTTATACATGCAAGGCACTCCGAAGATCAAGTAAGTTTAGGAGAAAAGAGATACAAGCAAAGTATTAGGGTTTCTAAGATGAATATTAGATACATGGCCCTTACATGTGTGAGGGTTTATATAATATTCCCCCGGCACGTAGCCATTGGTTCCTATTTTTAGGCCCAAATATACGGGTCCACAAAATTAGGTAACTGCCAGGATTGGGTCAAAACAGGAAGGTATGCTCGTAAGTAGATTTTTGTTCCAAGGATGAGGATTACGGGAAGATGTCCATTTTGGTTGTTTCCTATGTGTCTGTCCGACTCGTGTCGGGCTTACAAGAGACATTCGTTGATCTGGTCAGGCATGTATATCGGGCATAATTGGTCTGATGACCAGTGTCGTGGTCGACCAGAGTGTTGGTTGCTATCATCAGATTATGCCAAGGGTAGGAGAAAATTGGGTCACTTCTAGTCATTGGGTCAGTCTAGAACAGGAGCCCCCTAAGTCGTTGCTTCTGGGTATAGGAGTGATGACTTAGAATAATCTCGCGAAACGAGGATGGTTCTTGGTCGACATTGCTTGAGGGGTACAAATGATGTTCATCGTGTTTGCCTCGTAGGGAGGGGAATGGTTGAGTGATTCGTTTCGAGGATAAATTTTGTGCGAGGAGTTTAGAAATTTGCCCGGTGTTTGGTTAACGGGGGAGGAATCTGGAGAGGTTGCATGTTTTGCATGCATCAAGTCGCATGCTGTCAGATAGGTGTAATGATGGTTGGCCTAGGGGCTAGGGCGTAATGATGACGCCCTTTAGAGTTCCCTATGCGCCTCTTTGCCCACGCGCTGGTGAGTCCAGCCTATAAAAAAAAAGGGAGAGAGCTTCATATGTAATTTTTCGCCTGTCTTTCAGTTGCTCGATACTTTCGTTCTTGCCTGACTTCGTCTGTATCTGCTCGACTTCATCCATTTTTGCTCGAATTCTTCTATTTCCAATATTTTCATTTGTTCCTCCATTCGCCGTTGTCTATTCTCATCGTTCCTTCGCTCAATCCAGTAAGCTTTCATTGATTCCCCTTGTTTTTGTGATTGTCACTTCCGTTATAGTTTAGATTTTAAGGTTTTTCCTTAGAAAATGCACGCGGTTAGGGTTTAAGGTTATTGATTTCTTATAAATTATGGCGAAATGTTGGCTAGAGATGGTGGTTATAGTGGGTGAGACCTTCGAGGATACCAAGTGTCCTCCCTGGGGGAGTTTT